CCAAGCGAGTGTATCTAACGACTGTCAGGAATTGCTTCTATGTCGCGGTGGAGCATTTCAGGTGTGGGCCTGCCAGTTGCCGAAAGGGTTGCTCGTGCGTTGGGCGTTGTTTGATGTGCACGCAAATTATTACTTAAGCGGCTTAAACTTGTTGAGGCGCTACCAGTTTGGGTTATTCGCTGTGGTTTTGCCCAAATTAGGTTTGAGTTGAGTTTCGTCAGTTCGAGTGCGCGGCGCGCTGTGGGTGCTAAACGATAAAGATGTCAACACCCGAGAAGCCTTATGCGATTTGCCATATATGTACATGCAAACATATACATATATATATATATATATGCTGAAAGTATGCGACAACTTAATTTGTTAACGTGTGTACATTTTCTTATCTACCAGCAGACAAGCTAAGCTAAGGCAGCTTCATTTAAAAGCAAGCCAGAGTGCTCTTATCGGGCTTGCTCGCCTAGCAATACCCTGCACACGAAATCACGTGGCTTGCTGCGTCCTACACTGAAAGAAATGCGTTTTTTATTAACTTAGTTGTTTAAAGTCCATTCAGGGCTTAAATATTGCATACAAAATTTAACGCAGATAAGCGCAAGCCTCTACCTGTTCATATGCGTTTTCATCGCAAATTTGATGGTAATAGGGGATGTATCTAAGAAGTTAGTTATTCTTAATTTACTTCTGTGTGAGAACCTGCAAAATCATGTCTCGAAAGCGATACAGCACGTTAAAAATTGCAGGAGATTTCGGGAAAAATTATAAAATCTTTCTACTGTGGTTAATAGGAATAAGTTATCCAAATTTCCAGGCACATGTCCTTGTAAGTAGTTTCCCAAACCAGCAAAGACGGACAGATGACAATCGGGCATGGCTAGATAGACTTAGCTAATCGTCCAGATCCCTTGTAACCTTATGGATCCTCTACATGTGCAGATTCTATAATAAAAAAGATTTTTTTTTTTTTTTTTTATTTATTTATTAATGGTCGACAAAACGAGTGTCTTCCTCATTATTCAAAAGGTTGTACAATATAAGTATATTCTAAAAGCCTAGTTAAAGGATACAATTTTCTAAATAGCATCACCGACCGATGGAGGTGTTTTATTTGCCAGTCCGGCCAGCTGTGCCCCTTTTCACAGCTAATTTTGTCAGTGACGCTATTAGAGCCTACATCTAAGCAGAAGGTTGTAAGTAGGAAAAAAGTGATCTCAAGTGAAATTAAAAATAATCTTAATTTGCTAAATTAATAAAGAAAATACAATAAATAGGAAAAAAGAAAGTAAGAAAATTGTTAATAAAGTAAAGCAATGTAAGTTAGATAAAGAGTGTTAAGTGGATAGGACAAAGAGAAAAGTATTGGGAAATCACCGACACGGTGGGGGAAAATTTTTCAGCCTGTCCGGCTAGCTATGCCCCTGCTCATAGCTGGGAATGGTCAGCGACTTCCCGAAGGTATCCTGAAAGCAACGATTTTATTAGGGGTAGAGACAGTTCGGTAGAGAAAACGTGATGCAAACTATTATAATTTTTACATAGCACGCGAAAAGAATTGTGCATAGCGTAATCTGTTGTGCACGTAGATAGTAATAAGGGGCGATAATTTCTGGATTTGAATACTGCCAGAAAAGAAGTGATTATTTATATATATCTTGGTATTTGAGTTTTGGACTGAGCTAGACGTAATACCTTCAACCGGTCACATTGCCGCGGGCAAGTATATCTGTACATATATGGCATTTATAAAATATATGTACAGAATACTTAAAAGGGTGCATGGATGTGGGCGGATGGGCGAGTGGCGAGCATGTAAACATGTTGAGCGCGATGAGCCAAAAACCTGAACTACAGTAAACGCAAATGTCATGCACAACATTTGTAACTGAGGCAGCCCACAATACTTGTTACCCCAGCATGAAACATGAACATTTTTACAATCTAGTGGCCGCATGCGGGTATCATCCATTTGGTAGACTATACGACATCAACATTCCCTGTATTGCATTCAAGTCTGGTCGTAGTCAGAAGTTGTTTTAAACATAGAGAACTTCTAACTACGAGAAATCCTCTCATAGCTGGAGATATTTTTTTACATTAGTACTAAGTAATAGAATACTTAATAGACGTCTATTCGGTCGGTTATGCTCCCTTTGGCCTGTTACCTTTATGTGCATAAAAATATTATAAGCTTCCTGCCCATTGGCAATGGGCTCATGGGCATTATTATATATACATATATGTACATATATGTACATATATGTATATATATTTTTGATCAACTTTTAAGTGACAGGTCTTAAGGGCTTTGGCAGAGGGCGAGGTCTAAGTATTTGATTGGGATGGTATAGATTCACTTATCTTATATGGCATTACACGTGCGAATGCAAAAATGGTAAGCGAGGCTAAGGGCTGCAAAATGCGCCAAGTGCGCGGAAATTTTTGATTGATGTTTTTGTTCAGAATCTCATGTCCATGCTGCTGTGTGTTGTGACATGTTGGCTTGTCATTAGCAGAACAACTGCCGCAGGCTATAAGCCAAAAAATTGATGTTTGCACAGCAACAACTACAGAATCGAGTTTTAATTTTTTTATTGTTACCATTGTCGTTTGCCTGATGCAAATATTAGATAGAATGTGGCACATGTGACATAAATGGCGGACGAGATGAGGAACACAATGCGCCAGTTGACGATAGAAGGATCCTGATTGATCACATGTCCGGCGACCATGGGTGCTGTAAGGCCGATCAGATTTGCGCAGCAATTAGTCATGGCCATAAGAAGGCCGGCAAAGGTTGGCGAAAGGTCCAAGTGATTGATCTTAAAGCCCGAATAGATGGCACCGTTAAGGCCCATGCCGATGGTGAATAAAGCCACAGTCAATATCAAACTCTGATAACAATATCCAACGGCGAGAAGTGTTACCGCCGGCCCATACTGTCCAAGGCTGTTCATAATTTTGCGTGCCAAGGTAATGCTCATATTGTGGCGGATCAGCCTATCGGCAATAACAGAAAACACTATGGCCATAATCCACATGGCCAGATAGGGTAACGAGGAGAGAAAACCATTCGCTTTCAGCTTCACCTTCATTACCATTGCCATGTAGGTGGGCAGCTCTGTCATCAGCGTCTCATAGCCATAGTTCTGTCCTGAGTGTGCGATCATGATGGCCCAAAAAGGCACAGACTTAAATATGCTACAAATTGGGGTTTTGGCTGTATTGTTAGCTGGCTGCGTACTCCAGATGGCCTCAATGATATACTTTCGCTCCGCTTCGCTGATGGTCTTGGCGACGCTTGGATCCTCGGGAACCAGCCAAAGGAATAGCACGCTCCATAATGTGCTAACAATTCCAAAAACGTAGAAAATCGAAGGCCAGCCACCGTCAAAGCCATGAACCGCTAACAGGCCACTCAGCGGCATGGATACAATGGTGCCAAACTGGGCTCCCGCATAGACAGCGGCGCCGGAACGTGAACGCTCATCGGGCGGTATCCAGTGGGCCAGCATGGCGTGTGAGCAGGGAACAATGGGACCCTCGCCAAGGCCCTGGATAAAGCGAACCACGCAGAGAGCCATATAGCCACCCTTTCGGGCGGAAATTGGTACTAGAAATGCGGCCAAGGAGTTGATCATCATTCCCCAGCCAAGGAAATGTTTGGAGCCATAGTTCTTGATAAGAAATCCAAATGGGATTTGTGTTAAAACATAGCCATAGAAGAAACTGGCCAATATGTAGCCCTGTAGCTTGTAGCTCCAGTTGAACTCGCCGTGCAGATTATCTCCAACATACCGAGTTGAGTTTTGGTCATCCCTGATGCTTGTGTGGTCGACCATGGCTACAATAGCAACGGACATATTGGTGCGCATTACATACGCATTGGCCATTCCAAGGAAAAGCATGATTGTCACAAAGACGCGTCTCCTTGCACAAGTTGGTATGTCTTTATCCTCTGAGTATTTCTCCTTCGTATATTCCATAATGTTCACTTTATAAATATTTTAAGATCAAATGTTTTCATTTTTAAATTTTTCCCCTTCGAAATCAGTTTGAAATGTATGATATGGGTAAATAATTTTCATAACGGTTCAAAGCCACATTTCACCCCTTCCCATATCCATAACGATGCCATATCGAATTCAACTGAATCGAGGGCTCATCAAATGGCTTTACACTAGATTACTTCCAAAGCGAATCTCTACCCCTTGCCCCTTAGCTCAGCGGCGGCAAAGAGTTTTCCCATTTTTTTTTTGCCTTGAATCATTTTCACATATATCTGCAGAACTGCGACATGAACAAGCGGCGTTCCCAGTGTGCATTCAATCGATCCACATTTGTTGCGTTGATTGAAATTGATTATGAAAACAAGAAAAGACTGTAATTTACATTGAACCTAGAATCAAATACATTTACAAACATAACGTGCCTAAAATATTGATGAAAATATGCGCAGGCTTTTAAATTATTTCTATAAATTTCGTATAATTTAATTAAATATAATAATGAGGTATAATAACCAAATTAATAGTACATGCATACACTAGTCTGGGATTCTCGCTCGGATTTTCTATCCTATTTCGAAAAAATAATTATTTGTTCTGCCCCCATTCAAAATATATTGAATTGATTATTTATCAATCCGCTTTAAATAAATGGCCCTAAAATAGCAAACACCTGTGCGTTACTCTTGAATACTTAGGTCGAGAGGGATAACCAACTCTAAGCAAGCTCAATTGAAAACATATTCAACATACTACGTATTCAATCTGGCGATTACCACAACCGCTGATTGCGTTTACGCCGCGTTGGCCGCACAAGACTTGATTACGAGGCTCGAGTTGCGGCCAACAAATGTATGTGAAGTGATTTGCATAAAGCACCAATCAGACCATGAAAGAGGCAGCGGAATTCGTATCGTGCAGTGGAGTATGTGAATATAATGATGCGTTGTATTCGTAAGAGTTAAGTTGGCGCTTCGTTTACAATAATTCCCAATATATAAATATATACTCTTCATGATATGTTTCGATACTAAGAGCTCATATTTCTAGCCGCCTGCGAAAATGTGCGCCAAGGAGGCGCTGCGTCCACAGGATGCGCCCAATTTGAGTGGCCAGCAGCTCGGCAGCTTGGCGCTCTGGACGCGTCATCGGGTGTGCAACGAGGACACCATGGCACACCTAGCGCTCAAATACGGGACGACAATCGGGCAAATTTGTCGCGCTAATCGCTTGCATTGGCAGGACATTCTGCAGACGCGTAGCTACATTTGGCTACCAGTTCCTGGCATACAACAGCCAACTCAGGAGCATGAGAACCAGGCACAGATAACGCCAGTGATAACCTTTCCAAATTATGGCAGAGTGTTGATTGTGCCGCCGCATTTCTATCGCCAGAGTGCGCCCAATCTGGATGACTTTGCCGGCGAGTGCGATCCGCTGCTGATCACCACGCGCTGCATGTGAGGCAATAACAATAAAGTACCTGCGTACCTTGCGAGGCAGCACAATTTAATTAGCGGCCACAGATGCAGATGCTTCGTCCCTGCCCTGCCACCCTTTGTTGCGCTACATCCTGTCTGGCTCGCTGCCTGCAGCTGCAGACGACGACGAAGACGTCGACGACGACAAAGCAAAAGTGCACAGTTTTATCAGCCAAGCCAAATTGTGGGCGGCATGTTAATGTTCGTTAAATGATTCCCTTTTAGCGCGTCAAACGAATACTGCGTGAGCTTTGACACGCGTGCGGAGAGAGACTAAAACAGTACCGAGCTCTAACCCGAAAATAGGTCTGGTTATCGGAACTACAAAGTGCTAAAATATTCTCGAGTCCAAATTATGCTGTTGAGCATGTATATGAGGGAAGCATGAACTTTAATATTCTTCTTGAGTTGGTTGACTAAAGAAATCGAAATTCAATTAAGTTGTTTGTGTAAACGTGTTCCTGCTCTTATAGCTCGATTTGGGAACCTGGCTTTTTACATCTATGAACCCATATTTGTGCTGAAGCTCGTCACGTTCCTTACCATTTTCTATCTAATATCAATATATTGAAAATTAAATAATTTTTTTTCATTTTATTGATAGGCTAACAATTATATTTCAGACTTTTTTGGTAGCAACAAGCTTTGGTTAAGGTTAGGGCTAGGTTCGAAAAGAATAAGGTTTTGTTCAAAGCAGCTTTGATATTTGTAAAAGGGTATTCAAATATGTTTGAAGGCTGCAGCTTCTTTTCTTAAATTAAGCAAATGTCTGGAAATTTTTGTCGCGCAGCGGAAATAAAGGAGAATTGCGAAAAGAAGACCCATTGGCGGAGCCGGTGTCCCTGGGCTACCAACGCCACCTCCCTGCGAATAGCAACGCCCACCACCCGCTGCGTTGATTAGAAACCCCAGAGCGCTGCCAGCTGTCGACGCGCTACAAAATTGGCTTTTAATTGTTGCAGAAGTGAATTTGCCACAAACAGGATGCAATTAAGACATTCAAATTCACGATTCGAGTGCGCGCTGCTGCGTGCGGCGCTGAGTTTGAGCAGGTGCATTGAGTGGCGCCACGCACACACACGCGCACACGTCCAGCGACATCGAGCACATGGAGCACGTGCAACAGCAGAGATAAGCATGTCGGCCAGTGGCCATACCGTTGGCGACCCCGACACACATTCAAAGTAGAACATTAACTAATCTGTGTGCGGCACTTGAGCATAACGACGTTTGCAATGAAGCAATCGTGCCACTTTTTGGCAACGTATCCAATCCACCAGAATAAAAAAATAAGGGAAAGAGGGGAAAGGGGAGCGGCAAAAGGGCCAACGCCGAGAAATATGCGTACGTGCTCGTGTGATAAATTCACATTTTCCGGCTGGCAGCAGAGCAGCAGCAGCGGCAGTGGCAGCGGCAGCGGCAGCAGGACAATCGCTGGAATTGATAGACACCGAAGCCGAGGGGGCATTAGACGTGCGGCGATGAGCTCAGTAGCTGCGCAGGTAGGACACCCGTGAAACGTAGCGGAACGCCGGTGTCAAAAAGGAAGTGCCACAAAAAAAAAGGAATACGAAAAAAATGTCACGAGGCGCAGACAGCGTTGAGCATGACGTGGACGTGGACGACAACGATGAGCACCATGGATGGCCACATTTTGTGCCAGCATTTTTGACAGACACAACTTTGGAATTGCTCTGATTATGCCGAGACAACGGGCGCAACGGATGCGGGCATCGGCGGACTCGACTCAATGGCATGTTGACAATGATAACGAAGTTGGCCCTGACTGCGTTTAGCATTTGGATTCAGAATCGTTGCGGTGTGGTGGGAGGCGGCATCCAAAGCACAAAAAAAAAGCTGCCTGCGGAAAATATCAAATGTCGCATGCCGGCATTAATATTTCATGAGAAATCATAGTTTGGTGATGCGTATAATTCAAAGAATTGCAATCTGAATTAATTTCAAATGCTCGGACCGGAGCGGAGCTCAGGTATTTCGCATCGATTTGACAACCTGGTCGAAACTTGTTGCCAACGCGAGCGGGGTTAGCTGGCTTCAATCTGGCTGGAATTCAGGCATTGTTTGGCTTTAATTGTCAAACAGCTCTACCAACTATCCCGCGGCCCGCTGTATCTGCCAGCCTGCGTGTCTATTTTGGGGAGCAGCATATGGATGCTGTACGGCAACAAAGTTTTCAACATTTCTGCATCATAAAACTTTACTCCGAAAAGGGCATCAAAATGAATGCGTATCGAATTTTGATGCATGTGTTGCAGCAAAGACAGCGGCAGCAGCAGCAGCAGCAGCGATCGATGGCCACAAAGTGCATTTGCCGCATGTGGCATGTGTATTCGATATGGTGAATCCATAAGCCAAGCTGCCGTTGTTACTAACAAAGTTTTGCGAGTGAAACTCATTTATTTGTTTTCCGCCGTGACAGTTGAACCATGTAATTATACACAGACAGGCGCTGTCCCACTCGCCCCTCCCTCTCTCTCACACACAGTGCCGTTCCCCACGCCCAACACCCTGTCACTGCCCCCCTGCCTGAGAGACTTATGAAATATGACAGTTTTGCACACCACGCACAACTTTTGGACCGCCTTTCAAATAGAAATTATTAGAAAGTTTTGAGCGAAAGCGAAAACCAGAGGCCAACAGCTTGCTGCAGCGAGCGCTCCCCATGAGATTAGTGCAATTTGGGAGTGGCATTGCGACACAAAGACACCGAACGAAAGAGACAAGGCGAGAGTGAGAGTGAGATACACATAGTATATATGCTGAATTCATATTGAACATTTCAAGGTTTTATGTCAAGATTTTGATTTATGTGGGTTGGCAAGCTGCCTTACGATAACTTTTGCAGGATGAGGCAGACAGACACAGAGCTGGCTATTAGGAAGAAAAAGATGCGGAAATATTGAGAATTAGCAGCTAAGAAATTGTTTGCCAAATGTGGACAAAAAGTAGCCACTTGAGAAGTTTCCAAAGAAGAAAAAGCTGAGAATTATCAGAGAATTTCAAGAAAATTATTCGTTTTAAGACTCTTAATCGAATATTTAACAGCCGTAATAGTACATATGTAGTTTTACAGCTGTTATATTACAAAAGAAGGTTTATTTTGGAGAAAATGAGTGTAGATACATTTTTGCTGAAGAAATATAAATAGGTCTCTCATTTTATAAAGTTTATAACTTTATAAGCAAAAAAAACAGAACTGACGGCAACAAAATATTAACAAGCTGTTTAATGAATAATAAGAAATAAATTGTTTCAACAATTTCTTTCTTGACAAGTTCTTTTTAAAACTTAATCTTAAGTGAAAGCGATGGAGTCATCAATCGAGTACATTCGAACAATGTGATACTCATTTATGTATTCATTCGTTTGTTCGTTTATGTATTAATTTGCCCGGTTTGCTGACTGACGTATTCATTTGCCCGTTCGGTGCATTTGCATGGGCAACAATTGCGAGAGTGTTTTAATTTAATTGATTCGCAAAGGGCAACGTCGGAGCAAATACTGACACCGGCACCCCAACCACCATGCCCACGGTCCACCTTTCTGAGAATGTGGCAGTGAAATGGACTGTGAAGCATTGGCAGTGGTACAATAATACTTACTTGCTGCCGTGGCTGTTGCATGTAAGTAATTATAAATTGCATTAAAAGACGCACATTTCGAGCGCCTTCAGCTGTTGCAACTGCTGCTACTGCTACTGCCACCGTTGCTTGGGCTTAATTAAAATTTCATTATGTGCCCATATATATTGTCCCAAGTATTTCCATTCAGTAAGCGTGCTGCGTGTAGTATCTGCCTCTAGAGAGGGCAATGTGTTTAAAATGCTGTAAAAATATTTGACAAGCAGCTTTACGAGCGAGCCGTAAAAATATTTTACCAGCCGACTAAGCAACTCGTTCCCCCCCGCAAGCATCACCGCCCCGATCCGCCTCTCTTATCTATTAACTGCTCAAACAGCTAAAACTAATGCATGCATAGGGTATGCATACTTACAGCGAACACTGTAGCAGCTAGTGGCTAGAGGATACAGCGGGACGGACATTATGCGTGTTTGCATGCAAATGTATTTGCTAGTCGCAAATAAAACCAAGGACTCGAAAATACTTACTAAATGCATCAAATACAAAAAACAAATGAGTCGTTCAGTCGTGTATGCCCGATTACCAGATACTCTCGTCGAACTGCTGGACTGTTATTTACAATAACTTAAATATTCAGAAATTAGTTTTCTGATATATTTTCAAAAAGAGAATATATATGTTACGATATTTTCAAATAATATTTAGACTAAAACTCTTTTTTCTTCTCGACAAAAGATAAGAATGCGATAAAAAGACGAAATAACTCGAGTTACCTGCTAGCATTCGCATACCTATCTTGAGCTTTTAGAAACTTTGTGCTTATGTGACATGAAGATTATGAATGAGTCCTGCCAGGCGATACATTTTACATCATTAAATTAGGAAACCCATTGGTAAGGGTATCAGAAAAAATGCAAACGCAACTTGTCGACATGAATTGTTGTTGTCATTTCACATGTCCCTTGTTGTTGCTGTTACTGTAGTTGAACTTTATTGTTTGTATATGAGTGCGGGTGTGTGTGTTTGCTGTTGTTGTTGTTGTTGTTGTTGTATTTTGCCATGCAGCTTCCCATGGCTGAGCATAGCAGAGCATAGTTTTTAGCGCAAATCAAAATGATTGATGATGATGGCCGTCATGCAGCAAAGCTCTAGTTCAGGCAGTAACAGCAGCAACAACAGCAGTAGCAGCAGGAGTAGCAGCAGGAGTAGCAGCAGGAGTAGCAGTAGCAGTAGCAGTAGCAGTTACTGTAGCTCACCCTCACAGCAAGCAAACAACAACAAGCACTTGACAGTTATGGCTGCTGATATACAGCAAATAAACTAAATAAATCCCTTTTTGTGTAATGTCATTTTTGTGCCACTTTGTTTTAAAGGCGTGCCACATGAGCACCCGACCGCCTGCATTTGTATGCATTAGGTGTATCCATGTGTGTGTGTGTGTGTGTGTGTGTGTGTGTGTGTGTGTGTGTGTGTGTGTGTGACATATATGAGCTGTGAGCTATGGCTACAAGCATGCAGCCATTGTCATTCTTTTCAATTGCAAATTGACGTTGACCAAAAGTATGCAGCACTTTTTCACTGCGCTATTGTTTGAGTTCCCACACACACGCTTAGTGTGTAAGCAAGCACACACACACACACACATTGTCATTGGCACTTCATTAATGCTATCCACACACTTACGCAATGATACACACATGACCGCACACGTGCACACACAAATTAGCCAAAACGCTTACGTTTATGCGCAATGCCCATGTTTAAAGCTTTGCTGCCAAATACCCTTTGGCTGCCCATTGTAGTGCTGTTGTTGCTGTTGTTGTTGTTGTTGTTATCATTCGTGCTGCTGCAGTTGCTTTTGTGGCAGCGCTTATTGTTGTCCCGCTGCCTCATTAGGCAGCCGAAGTCTGTGGATATAGCTGCGGCTGCAACTGCGTTTGCGGCCATTCAAAACACAAGCTCAGCTCCTAAGCAGCAGCA